GGCAGTGACAATGTGTGATGGACTGACCACAATCCCCATTCCTTGTCCCCCTGCACTGCTCAGGGGGGAGGAGGTAGAGAAGTTGAGAGTGGTAGAGTGGCGTGATGGGCACTTGACAGACAGTGAAGGTCAACCCACCACATAGATACAATCCGCTCTTATTACAGTGTAGATCTCATAGAATTATAGTCTTTGCCCTAGATTCTCTGATATTTTTTTTTCTTGATATTGATTAATTACACAGTATTCTCCACTTGTTATAACTGGCTTATAGCAAGTGTCAACCATTGCTGGTAACAGTGGAGGGCTGATAGCTATAATTAAATCAGAGGCTGGCAGTAGATACTTTGTCTACTGTTTGATCAGTTGGAGAGGTGGGGAAAACGTGTATCTTGAGGTAGAGAACCCTCAATTTCAAAATGGAAGAGTTGATTTTTTTTTTAAAAAATATTTCTTTACTTGAACACTGTGACCTTACTTGAGCAAGTGCCATAATACCTCTTGGTCAGTTTTGCCTTGCTTATCAGTTCTGAAACTTTGAAGTTCTCTAAGTCATTCATGGTCTCAAACAGGATAGACTATATGAACTGATACCTATCTAGTTATGTAGATATAAGGCAGAAAAAATAAGATGAAGCTTTGATATAAGTTATATTAAAGAAATTGTGTACAGTTTTAGAGCAAAGAATCTTTCAGTTGTGGACTCTTATCTCCCTCTCTTTTGGATCATACTGGTAAAACACTACCGTGATGCCATACTTAAATCACTACAATACTTAATTCAGAAAACAATTTTTCTCACAAATTTGAGACTTCACAGAATAATTAGCCTTCACCACCACTGAACCCCTAGAAGAAAACCTGTCTGTGTAATTGTTGCTAACTTCAGGATATAGGCAGGTCAATAGATAACATTATTCTTTGTTCCATTTTGTGTAGTTACTGTGGATTTTTTTTTCCTATTACTGTCACAGTTAATGTATATGAATGAGTGAAGACTGAAAATGAAATAAACATATCTTCACTGAAATAAACATATCTGTGTAGTTTAAATCACTCGGTTTTGAGTTTACTACAGATACTACAACATCTCTGATCCTTAGATGTGATCCTCAAATAAGCTTGGAAGAAGAGGTGTGAAATACATGCTAAAAATGATTCATGGAGCAAAAAAAAATGTGATCAAAAATCTGATTGCTTCTAGTTAGCAACTATATAAATTTAAACTAGATTTTTTTTTTTTAAAACGTTTAGTTTTTTTTGGATGGTAGATTGAGTCTTCACAATTAATTCTCCCTTATGCACTCCAGCTTTTGAGCCTTTAATGATTACAAAGAAAAGCTTCTAATTATAGAATGATGTTTTCCCCTTCCTATTCCTTCAAGAAGTAAAAAACAGAAAACCCCTATATGAACATCTTACTTTTTCCTCTGTTGGCTGTGAAGACTGAACCTGAGGTACACTTATGTGTTAAGGCTTTAATGGTTCAGGGAACAAGGGGTGTTTGTTTGTGGGTGGTTTTTTTTTTTTCCTCCTCTGAGTTCTTTAGTAGATCTGCCTCATAAAAATTTAGAGGAGTTTAGTGGAGAAAAATAAGCTTCTATCACAGTGTTGTAGATCTGCAAAGCAATTTTACATTTGATTTGGTGCCTTCAGGTGGTCTGATGTTGTGATATTATGAAATGAAGATTTTTCTGCTTGCTAGACTTCCCTGTTTTGTGGCAAGGGAACAACGCTATACACTGTGTTCCCTATCTTCTGTGCATCTACCCAAACTATCCGTGGTGAAGTTCTTATTTTGAGCAATATAAGAGAATCGCATGTTCTGTGTGACATTACATTTCCCGGTGTTTGATAACTGTAACAGTGGTCTCTTCTGAAGTGCATCCTTTCTTTCCTCTATTACAGTTTTTCTGCTTCAACAGCTGACCACAAGACAGGTGGACAGGCAGATAGGGAGGGGGTGTGTGTCTGCCTGTCTGTATATATAAATATATATTGTAGAAGAGTGTTGGTGTGGAATACTTGATGTGACTATCCTGCTGCATCCATTCTGAGCATTGGCAGCCATCTCTGTTGTAGAATACCAGTGCTAAACAATTCTTCATATATGTGTAGAAGTAAAATTTGAACAAACATAAGACAAATTTGAACTAAATCACATTGCATAGTTTCCTACATTTATTTAAGAGCAGTTTTCTTGGGTCATTCTGGTCTTTGTAGCATTATAATTAGATGTATGTGCAAGTTGGTCAAATCAATGGTTTGGTGGGAGTGTTTTTTATTTGTTACTTAAACATGAGTTACACTATTTAGGCTTGAGACGTGAGCTATGAGTTTAAGTACTTTAGCTGCCATGATAACTGACTGGAGATACGACCCAACACTGATGTTGTACGGGCATTTATTTACTGATATGTTTTTACAGTCCTGTAGATGTATGTGATCTTTTAAAAAAATCCTCCTTTTTTCACCCTTCCTCCTCCTTAAATTCAAGGTCTCTCTTACAAAGTAAAGGAGTAAGTTAGGAAAACTAGGTATGTGTGTTTTGCATTGTTAGGCCTTAAAAGTTTTATTGCTTCAGAAACTTTTGAGACCTGAGTAAGTAAGACTAGGTGTGAAGAGAACAGCCACTGAAAAAGAGGGGGGTGAACAGTGTGATGTATGCTCTTTATGAAGCATTTGAATGAAAAAGAGTAACTTATTTCATTATTTATATAAACCATGTAGTGGACATTTTCATATTCTTGAAACCAAAACATAATTCTCAGAAGTTGAAATGACTGGATGAAGTGACCTTATTGATGGCTGTATGATAGATGTGTCTTCCCCATCCAGACTTCTGGTAATCAACTCACACATACAATCTCCGCTTCCAGTCCTTGTTGTTTCCAAGGCATGTGTTCTTCTGTTTACACTCCTGTTTGAAGAGACTGCTGGTGGCGCTTCTTTCTGAAGTGGTGTGTTTTTTCCACAGCTCTGCAGATTTCTGAAGTAATAACAAAATTAGGTGATACTTCTTTTTGTCAAAAACTTTTTGTTTGTAAATGTTGGCCATGGAATTCCTCTTCTGTCTTTGTGTGGCCTCTGAAGCTTGGAGAAGGCATGGGTAGCTCTGGCCCAGTGAGCACACCAGCTTCTAGCATCTTTGTCATCTGGCTGTGGGTGGCTGGAGGATGTCATGCTGGAGCCTGTCCTGTGGAATGAGCAGGAGGAGGTTACACTGCCTCTTTTGCTGACTTTCCCATTCTGTGGAAATCCCCAGTGTGGAATTTGCAGTCTCTAAACTCTTTGCATTGCAATACAGTTATATATTTTTATTTTTAGATCATTTTTTATTTAAATAATATGGCTGGAGTTTTATGGGAGGTGATAAGTGTTCAGAAAGATAAAATCCTAGCAACACTGAGGCACTGTTAAAAAAGGAAGTCTTGACATGTCACTAATGAAGAGTTTTCTTCCATCTTTTTAATGGATGAAAGTAGAATCTGACTGTACCCAGCCTGAGTGATAAATTGTACTTCTGTTTAGTCAAAACACTGAAGTACAGGAGTTCCTTGACCGGCTCTCATATAAATTAAACATACTGTGAAGTACTTGGCAAGCTAGCTGTTCATAGAGGAAAATCCAAGTGTGTGACATTTTTTCTCATCTTAGTAAGAAGAGCGGTGTCACAGCCTGTGACTTCATGCAGTGCAGTGGCTATGGTATTTTATTTTCTCCCTATATTACTAGCATACTGTCTGAAAATTGAAGTGCAGTCTGCTAACTGTGTCTGAAAGACTTTTTTGGCACTCGAAGAATAAAGTTTCTGTCATCAATCCAAAAGTTGAAATACAATTTCTGCAATTTCAAAATAATGAAGATAAAGCCCCAGACAGTTTAGTTTGTAGTGTTGGGAGTTTGGGAAAATAAATACTCAGTGCTGTTTTGTGAAAGTATGTATTTTTAGACCAATTTCCTGAGGAAATGGAGCTCGCATGACTTTGTCTGTCTGCACATGTTGGTCCTTCCTGAAAAATTGAGTCTGTCATCTGATTTCAGCCAAACTTGAAACTTGAGGTGACATTTTGAAGATGATTGTTTCTGAATTTTGTGAAAATTAATCACTAATTAGTGGAAAGAGACCTAAACTCGTGCTCTTGCTGAGAGGAGGCAAAACATGGCTGATGTACGCCACCAGTAATCAGCTAGTCAGTTTGCACTATTTAGGTTTGCTGTATCCTGCTGAGTGGAAATACTGTAGAAGCCACGGAGATCAGAGGGGACTGCTATAGCAATGACAGAGTTCAAAGGGAGAAAAATACATTTCAATTGCAAGGTGAAGTTTCCTTAATTCCCATGTGCACAGCAAGATGTACTGAATTTTTCCAGACTGAATGGAATTGCAAAAAGATGTCACTTTTTTATCTGAACACTTGGAAACCTTTCCTTTTAAACTGTAGATAGAACAGTTGGTAAAAACCACACTGGTTCTTTTTGTTATATTTTTGTCTTTAAATTAGGGATTTGTAATTGCGGTACATGATTTTAATCTTATTCATCAAATAAAATAATTTAGCTTTCCTATAGCTATATTTTAGTGCTCTGTAGAGGGTGGATTTTATTGTATTAAGCAAAAATATTATCCCAGTAACCTTTGTAAAGGTAAAAATAAACTGTTTTAAAAACACAATGGACACTTCAGAATTGCTGCTTCAAAATTCTCAGCTTCTCTGCAATGCAGGGCTGTGTTATCAGGTGATAAGTTGCAGCCTAAATTTTGACTTCATGTTCTGGGGTCTGTAGGTATTTTAACACCATTTAATGCTGCTACACATCTGTTGTGTTTAAACGAAAGCAAATACTCTTTCCTCATCTGTCCACCCCCCCAGAGGTGGATATGTATACACTTCTTTTTTTTTTAAGTATTTAGCAGCCAGTGGAAATTTGAGAAGCTGTCCACATGAGTATTTCTGAAGTTATCTTCGTTATTAAATCGACCAATTTATGTTTTACAGTGCCTGAAAATGACAACAAAGCGGAATTTGTTTGTGCGGCTGGTGCCATGCCGCTGTCTTCGTGGAGAGGAGGAAACAGTCACTACACTTGATTATTCTCACTGCAACCTGGAACAGGTGCCTAAGGAGATTTTGACTTTTGAAAAGACCTTAGAAGAACTCTATTTAGATGCTAATCAGATTGAGGAGCTTCCAAAGGTATGTTGGGTGGTTTTCCTTTTAGTTACATTTATTAACTGTTACTTCATCAGCATTGCAGAAGCTGATAGTGTCTAGCTTCCCACTTGAGCTTTTAGGCTGCAGTTTGACGAATTTTTTTAGTAAATATTGGTCCCAGAAGAAGCAGCCCTGGTAGAAGGAATGTTTTTGTGTTCCAGCTTGACCAGTTTTCTGCCTGAATCAAAGTGAAACTGCTTAAGCAAGTGATGCAGCCCAAAAGAGGTACATAGCAGAAGAGGCTGGCTAATTTGTTTTTGTGACAGTGTCTGTTTAAGATGACTAGCTGTATTCTACAAAGTGTGGCATTATTTTGAATCTCTGATAACACATGAAGATTAGAAGAAACCAGTCTAATGTCCAGATATCTATGCCCACAAAATATAGCTACAATCTAGAATATTCCCTTGAAGTCTTGCTTTCTTCTTTAGTATGTGACTGAAGAGACTTTCTGAAGTATCTCAGATAACTTAAATTCAAAAACTAGAGAGCTGGAATACCACTTTGGTTACATCTGTATTGTAGAAGTATTTGTTGTTTGTTCTGAAATCTGAAGACAAACTACATGCTGAATTAGCAGTACACTAGAGAAAATAATTAATATTTTTGCCAGTGAGACTTTCGATAAATACTAAGTGATCACTGCAATAGACTTGTTTCTAGTACTAGGTCCTATCTTGGTGAAATTAAAAACTTAGTTGTTAGATGAAAGACTTAATATGGAAAATTGTTCTGTCACAATTGTGTGCAAATCTTCTGTCACACAGGACAACTATAGAATGCATTGTTAGATTTCTGTAAAGTTTCCTATAACCACTTCAGTTTTTTTTGGTTTGGATGTTTTGAAAGATAAATGAAACAAATAAGAAAATAAACCAATTCCAGAATAGTAACTTGACAGTTATCAGAAGCCCTGGATTTCAGTAAAACTGTCTTAAACCAGCTGAGTGCTTTTGAAAATCCAACCTTAAATGCTCCTAAAAAGCCATTAATGGAAATCTGTATTTGAACGTTGAACAGAGCTAATAACATATAAATTAAAACTAGACATTTTGTCAAGTCTTTTATAGTTTAGAAATTCCACTATTCTCTTCTTGTCTCTTCCCAAGCAGGATACTCCTTTACTCCAAGGTTAGTCACTTTAGGTTTTAGTAGCTTGCTTTTGTCAGCCTTCAAGTTTTTTTCAGGTGATTTCAGAACTTCATTGCTGTAGCTTATTCTTTATTGGAGAAGAATAAAATTGAATGCTTAATAAACAGAATAAAATACCTTTCTTAGCCAAAAAAAAAAAAAAAAAAAAAAAAAAAAGGAAATTTTTGGACCTCTTCTTGTATTAAGTTCTTATTTCCCAAATCATAAGAACTAAGTAAATATCTTCTTCCCAAACTTGTAATTTTCTTAAAAATTTCTGTTAGTACAGTCTTCCTCTTTTAAGATTAGTCTAGTGATCAAATGGATACATGTTGGTGTTTTAGATCAGAAGAAATAGTCTGCTTTGTCTTCCTTTTTCTGTTACATGTGATTTGATTTCATTAGTCAGGTCCTATATGAAATCTAATTTTGATGCCACTGAGAGGTGGGCAGTCTACCACTTGCCTTGGTCTAATCTAAGATTAAGTTATTCATGTGATTAGGAAGACTGGTTGAACATTTATGTTGTGTTCATTTTTGCTTTTATTTGCTGAACTGCAGGGATCTGTAATAGCCTATACTTGCTTCATGTTAATGTGTTTGTAAATTATAAGAAGGCATCCTTATAGGCTTATTTTTGAGAAGCTAAGTATTTTTTTCAGCTTTTAAGTAATTTTAATCATTATTTTTTACTACCCTTTCAATCTTCAAAAGAAAAATACCCCTATACACAAATTCAGATACTGTAAAGGAAACAAGCAGAGAGATTAGGGAGTACTGAAGACATAATAAAAGTGTTTTATTTAATCATTCGACAGAAATTGTAATCTTAACACTATTCATAGAAGATCTGTCAGGGAAGGCCTGTAATGTTTGAAATTACCCTAGCTGATTTGAATCCAGAATTTCAAGCTGTGCATGCCTTTTCCCTAACCCAGGTTTTTATTTAGTGTTTTAATTCTGAAAAAGGTTTCTAATTAAGCCATCTCAGGCAAAGGGTGCTGTACTTGTTAGGCTCTCTCCAGCTTTCTGAAGCCCTGTGAAGGCATTCCCACTCTTCCCATTACTCTTTGTCCCTGGTGGTGTGTTCTTATCTGTGTTTTGCAGTCTGCTGCCATTTGTATGCCACAACACAACAGGTTTGGGGCAGTCTTGTCAACCTAATCTCAGCTGTGTGGTGCTTTCTTTTTTTAATTGCCTTCAATCTTTTCAGAACTCCAGAGTACTTAAAAAAATTGGTTCTTACAGTATAGCTCTTTAATGTAGTTGACTGTCTGAGAGGACAGCATGAGCTAACTGTGGTGGAGGGAAAGGTGGTGGTCAAAAAGGACTTTGCTTTACGCAAAGCGCTGATGTGTAGTCAGTTTTTCGAAAATGACTGGGCATTTGAAATGCTTTCATCTTGTATGCTAAATCACACCTGAAAAGGTACCCTGTTTATTCCAAGTGCCACAGTGTGCAATTGTGCTGAAAAGCTCCAACTCTAGCAATTCTAGTTTTCCTTCTCACTTTGCTGTTCAGAAGAAATTGGAATTCTGCAGTAAAATAGTCCTTAATTCTGGTGTTCACTAACAGTAATGATGATCTACTTAATCACTGAATATGCAAACAAAACAAAAATGGGAACAATTGCAAAGTCAACGCCATACAAAACTCCCCTTCATCCCCCATTTTCCTCTAGGGATCTTGCAATTCCTTGTGCTGCATTTACTTTCACCTGACTAATCAGGAAAATTTCTAATGATTCCAAGACTCCAGATGATTGTTTTCAGGGGTGAGTTTTAAATATATAGTCTTGCTTGAAGTACAGAAATAAAGAAATGGCTACAAAACGTGACTTCACTGAAGTTCTTTCCATATAATAAATATCCTCAGTGACTTGTAACTCTTCAAAGCCTTGAAGATATCAACTAGTTCTAACAGGTGTACATTTCTGAGGAATTGGAAACATCGATAGGCATGTTAAAGCTCATTCCTTGAACCGTCCATCTTGCTAATTTATGTCAGCTTTTGTTCTGGGGTGGTATATGCAAATGTTATGTGAATGGGGCTAGTTCAACAGTCTGTGGTTGAAATAATGGCCTTGTAATTGAGAGAGATCCAAGAAATTTTCATTGAACTAAGCCCATTGCTCTGATTTTGTGTGGGATAAATTCTTAGTTGCAGAACACTTCCTGGTTTTGTATGACCTTTTATCAGAATTCCAAAAGAAAAGAACACCAAGTCCAGGTATTTATGAATGATCTTATCCAAAATTGTCAGGAAAGGAATATTTATCATAAATTGTTTGGATGAACCTTTTCAGTCACTTAGAGATATTTATTTTGTACTATCTGTAAGCTTCCTATGTATCATTTGAGGATTTTTCTTCCATTACACTAATATTACTTGCCCTATTTTGTCAATTTGTAAAGTGTTTGGGTAAGCATCTCAAGGTGCCTTACATATAGGAAGAGATCTGGCACTGAGCTAATGATACAAATTATAATGCATGTATACAAAAGAGATTACACAGTTTTCTATATCCTTAGATAAAACTTTAACTAGTTTTCATCATGGTTTTGTTGGATTTTTTTATGTACTCGAGCTAGGAAGCATGGAAAGTAAAAAAATATTGTAAGATATAATGGAATCAAGTTTAAACCTTTAGAGAAGATCAATACCTACTCAAATCCTGTGTTCTAGAACTATTTGACTTTTTAAAATGCATCTATTAATTTATTTTATTCTTTTTTGAAGAAACTGTAATTAACTCTGGGATATCACATGGCATATTTTTCAATGTTTGTAAGACTATTTTTAACTACAGGTCTCGATTTCTGAGATACTAGAAGGAATATGTAGGATGTGTTAAGCATAGCTGCTGGATTGTTGTTACAGTTTGCAGTTTTTTGCTTCCCTAAGCATTGTAAACTTAGTCACTTTTGAATAAAACTAGTTAAATAAAGGGTTTTTTTAGTCAAAGACTCTAGTCCAGCCTTCAAGCTGTGAGGTCAGAAGTTTAAAGGGATTAAAAACAATAGCTATATAGAAGAAACTAAGAGAAAGTCACATTCACTTTTTTCTTTGTTTCAATAGCAACTTTTTAACTGTCAGTCTCTGCACAAGCTGAGTTTGCCAGACAATGATCTAACCACATTGCCAGCATCCATTGCAAATCTCATTAATCTCAGGGAACTGGATGTCAGCAAGAATGGTAAGTCACTTCACTTATTATATTGGGGTAACTAAAAGGCAAATCACCATTGTCTCTACAAAGACACTAGTGAAAGTATAATTTCTAGAAACTACACAGCTAGTAAATTTTAAATTACTACTCTAAATCACTGCTTAACATAAGAGATGCTCTTTTATGGTCTGGTTATGATATTGTATCTCTCAAATTGATTGGTTTGTACTTTGAGATTCATTGCTGAAAACTGATACTGTAAGGTATATTATCTCAAAATGCATATGCCAAAATTTATTACTTTCAGTGGCTTTCATCATGTTTCACTATCTTGAAGAGAGTTTGCACAAAAACTTGTAAAATTTTGCTGGATTCTGTTGTTAGATTTTGTTTCATATGAAAATTGTATCATATGAAAATGACCTGTCTGAAAATTGTAATAGGACTTGGTTGTGTTGTCCTGCTCTGGGGATGGTAACCTCTCTTGTATGGGAGAAAGCATCTACAGACCGGTTCACTTGTTTGACTGTTAAAAATCTATTGTTCTGTGTGGGTCATTCTTTTAAAAATTTTGAAACATTGTCAGCCAAGTATTGTATGCATGGGGTTTTATTATTGGTGCTGCTTTGGCAAGCTGACAGATATGTGCAACTGTGAGGAAACTGAATAACTTACACTGTCATCAGACTTAATTGTGTGACTTACTTGAGAGAAAAAAGTTCAGTCTTGCTAATTGATGAGGATATAATAGTCTTGTCTTACTAATTCAAAGTGAAGTAAGAGAACCTCTCCTTGAAATCATATTTGAAAACAAGAATTACATAAAGATGCTAAAGATTTTATGATATTAAAATAATTTGGACAGCTAGCTAATCATGCCTCCACATTTAAGTTCTGCTTTATTAAGGAAGTATTCCAGTTGTTGAGGTGTTGGAATTCCCCTTAATTGTCCATTGTAGTGCAATCTGTACTTAAATTGTTACTTCATTATTTCTGTGTAATGAACGCAGCATTTAGTGTGATAAATTGACTTGATTGTCACTACTGTGTTCCTGGTACAAGTGGATTAATAGCCTTTCTTAAAGAACACTGGCCTTAAATTTTCAGTGACACACAACAGAGGAAGAATCATCTTTTTGTCCTAGATTGAACTGTTGAAAGGATTAACTGTTTCCAACACAAGTTCTCAGTACAAAAGATTTAAAAGCAGCAAAAGTGCATTTGAGTTCTAGTGCTGGCCAATTCCTTAGTTTATGTACATGAATAGGCAGCTGGTCACTTCCCAGCTAGAGTTACTTGTCCATCTGAAATGGTGTAACCTTCAGCTAAGCCTTCAGAGGGCTGCTGAAAGAGCACTTGTTCCTCTGAGGCAAATAAAGAATTTAAGGAGGCAGTAGCTGAACAAAATACTGTGAGGCTGTTTTCTAGAGGCGGTTTTCTTTTGTTCTTAACACCCTTCAGAGAAACAACAGAACATGAGCTTATTTAAACTATTCTCAAGTGCCTGTTCTCAACCTTACTACAGTTTGGGTAGCTTCTATGCCTACTGTTGCACATCAGAAATAGTCCTGAGGTCACATGCTTGTTTACTTAGTACATCTTTTCTTCCGCTATTCTGGAAAGCGCTGTAAAATGCAAAAAAACCAAACCAAAACAAAACAAAAAACCCCCAAACAAATCAGGGTCCCTGTTTGTCCCTGTTGTGTGAAGTAAGAAATAGTGTTATTTATTCTGTAATAAATTTGGTATTATCGGAGACTTCAGTTTGTTGGCTTAAGTGCCTTTCCCTTTCTGTTTCTCTATCCACTGTTGCAACCACGGAACATTTTTCTCTTCAGAACTGCAAGCCTATTCTCTTCCCTTGTGTCTGCTTTTCTCTTGGTAAGAATTTACTGCTCAGCTTCCCACTGATCACAATTGTTCTGATGTGTGTCTATAATAGAGCCAAGTAGGCAGGGTTTTGATAGTTCTCCAAGGCTAGCAAAACTGATCAAAATCTCTGATTCTTCATTTTTCTTTGTTAGATATTGAAGAAATACAGTGTGGAAGCAGTGAACTTTGTGGGAAGCACAGGAATTGCTTTCCCTTAATTTATGGGGAAAAAAAAGTAAAGTAGAGATTAATCACCTATCTCAGTGCAGAATGATGAGAGATATCAAATTCTAAAATAGTGTGCTTTTCAGATTCCTGTGGTGATACCAAGTGAATAATTATTCAAAAATGATAATAAAGGTTATTTTTCTTGTAGTATTGATATACCATTAATGTTTTCTTCTAATGTGAATGAAACTAAATCATGGAGTGCAGATACCTTTAGATCAAATATGCATTTAGTTTTAAAGGTTGCATTTTAGCAAGGTAGTTAGACTTTAGTTTTTAAATACCAATGTACGTGAAATATGATAGGATTTTCATATAAGATAGTTGAGCTGTTTGTGCCATAGGCATAACCAAATGTATTGACCGAAGAGAAATATTTAATTTTCTAAAGAGCTGATATAAAAATGAAGAATGAAGCTTCAGTTTTAAAACGTGTTCAAGTTACCACATGAATTGTAGAGTCTAGCTCACAGAGGGAGGCCTATTGTACAGGAGAGCATCCAGCTTTCCAAGTAAGAGTACATACATATATATGTGCGTGCATAATATTTGATGTTTAGATGAAAGATAAAAATTGCAGAAATTCTTCAAGGTAGCAGATTTGTTACATAAAATGTATTAGTCCAAGAAAGCAATCTTTATGATACTTTAATAGCTCATAAAAGGTCTTGCCTTTTAAATTACAGATTTAAATGTGTCTAATTTCATACATACAATATATAAAGTGTATAACAGACAGAGCAGATGTCCAAATATGGATACTTACAGATATTTAATAATATTTAACCAGAACAAGTATTCATCTTGTCTAGTGTCTTGTCTCCAGCAGTGACCAAAAGCAGAAGCCTAGGGAAGATTTAGTAAAGTACACAAAGCTGGGAGACACTTATGTTACCCTGTATGCTCCCAGTGCCCAACACCACCTGTTACTGGTCTTTCTTGAGCCAGACAGGGTGGGAGTTTAGTAGTCTTCATCTGACAACTCCTCTGTCAATATATCTAGTCTTTGTGTGAAGTGATGTATGTTTCAAGGCATGTGCTGAGTTATGGAGTACAAACCTCTAACAGTTGTGTGTTCTGGAGCATACAGAAGTCTTTGTACAAGCATTTGGTTTGGCATATTGATGGCATAGATACTGCCTATAATATCAAACTGCTGATATATATGTAGCAAGTAGGTAATAGAGTTAGTTTTAACTCTGTCTTTAGTCTTGGCAATAGACACTACATTCTGTCATTTTTTCGTAGTGATGAGTATATCAGTTGTATTTTTATGGTGTTTTAACCTGATTCCCAAGGCTATTATGAACCCTTAATATCAGAAGTATTCCATTGCTGATTTCCAGGTAGGCTTCAGCTTTGAAGCTTTCACCTGAAGCGTGATGCTATCCTAGTCATAAAGATGAAATGATACTTAAACAAACGGTACAATAAATAAAATGCATTCCTATACCAAAAATTACATCCTGCATTGTAGAAAGTATCAAGAGATGCCCTTCTCTCCCAGTCCTGCTGGGTTACATCCTAAGGAGAAGTTGCAGCATACAGAAGGTAAGACCTATGTAGAAAAATTACTATTCTATTTATGAAGCTAAAGGAAAATTAAACAAATTTTAATCCTCTGTGGCCAAGTTATTTATGTGTTGATAGTTGTACAGGAAAAACAAAAAACAAAAAACAAAAAAACAAAAAACAAACAAACAAAAAAAAAAAACCAAACCAGCAAAACCCCCCACAACACCACTCTTCACCCCTAAATCTGTTTGTTTCAGGGTTTATTAAACTTTAGGGGACAATAATTTCCTCATGGCTCTAGGATGCCAGCCTTAGCTTACATCTAGGACAATGTGGAAGACTGTCAAAGAGATATTTTTGCCTTTTCTTTGAAGAAGGGGAAAGCATTCATGTACAGTGCTTGAAGGCATATATCAATGGACAGAAGAGTTAGCTTTACGGATTACTTGATTCAAGTTATTTGAAAGGCTGAAACGTATGATGAAGTGACTGCCAGGGAAATCAGGCTTTCCTGGAAACCTGGGAAATGGGCTTGAAATCGCTTGTGCCTGTAGAGTTAGTGTAGTGGGAAACAGTCAGATGGTCTGGTTTTCCTTACTTTCAAGTAGTGAAAGAAAAAGATTGAATTTTAAATTTCTATTATTCAGGCATTCAATGGATTAAATAATGAGATTAGAAAATAACTAGCAAGACCAAAAAAGCCATGGTGCTTTGAAAATATGGCTATCTTCAATCATCTCTTAGATATTAAGGAGTGGTTCTCTTTCCTGTCATGTTACACCAAATATAAAGGTGTCAGTTTGTCAGCCTGTATTGCAATGAATCTTCATGGAAAAATACACAAACTAAACCCAAGAAAACAAACATATCTCCCATACCTCTCCCCACCCCCGCAGCCAGGCATATCTGCCTATAAAGTTATTTTAAGTAACTGTAAAGAATTTTGTTAACAGATGCAAATTTAGATCAAATATGTTTTCTTCAGTGTTTTAAAGTCATCTGCTGATTTGGCAAACTAGCTTTAGTATGCTGTGTGCCAGAGGTTGAGGAGTTGGAGAGTGATAATTCAGGAGAGTATTTAGAGTGCCCATCTGGTGCATTTAGGAATATGTTTTTTCAAGGAATTGAGAATTATTCATAGTTAATAGGGAGACAGATCCAAGTTTTATTTTCTTCAGGGAGAAGTGAGAGGAAGATCCTGAATACAAAAATAACTTGCTGTAAACTTGCTATTTCTCTGTTTATATTAGGGCAGGTGGAAAAGGGCAGACAGGAGCAAGAGTTTTATACCATCCAAGATAGTGAAATAAAAGGTAATTGATCTGTTGCTGACTCCTGTGTCTGTAGCTTTACTATAATGTATCATCATATAGAGGTCATAAATTTTATCCTAAATATAGGCAGCTATTATA